CAAAATCCACTGTCCAAGCCCACCTAGAAGCCAGATGGACATCTCTCTAGGGTACACAAATGGAGGTTTACCTGAGCAGGCTCAGAAGTTTTCTTCAGAGTTAGTGCAGCGTTTCACAATTTCCATGTAGTAGGCTGTACACAGGCTGCTGGATTCTTCATACAGCTCACAAAAGTATCTGTGAGATGTCTGTCGGATGAGGACCCCATACGAGGATCAGAGGCGGATGGATTTGGGATAATCCTGTGCTTCTAGCCTCTCTTGAAATTCCTCCGCAGGATTCATGTCTCACTGTTAGGCTTTATTTCCAGGCTTTAGCAATGGCCAGATTTTGCCATTAGTAGCTTTGCCAAGCAGTATCACGTTTCTGAAGTACATACCCTGTTACAAACATTACTTTCTATTTGATACAAGCAAGGCTGTAGTATCAAGCCCTTAATAAATCCTTTGTCACTTTTTTTATGATGATTCTTCCCTTATTTGATGAAACAGTGCTACTGATAATGGATGTGAAAGAGGACTGCAGAATTGTCTCAGAGTTATGAAAATTAAAATTTCTGTGTTAAGAAACCTAGATTTAGACTTATGAGAAACCCGAACTTCACACCCAATGGCAAAATTCAGTTTTCATGTGATGAGATCTCACCCCAGGTGCTTAAATCATGGTGTATTGGGGATTTGTGTAGAGCTAGGAAGCTGATAGTAAAAATTCTTACAGAAGGAAGAACTTGCTTGCAGAAGTATTATCACCAACTGATATGCTGAACACTTTAATTATGGTCACTGCAAGCCCTTCAAGCTCAGCAGAAATGAGGCTGATGTTTGCATTGTTTATCTAAGAGAATTCATAAGGGAAATAATAACCAGAAGTGGTTATTATAGCTGATATAAAAACACAATGGAGAAATGCTCAGTGTTGGGCAATTCTTTTGAGATACATTGTTCTGCAAGCTGAACTCAATTTAAATCTAACTTAATATTTCATTGTCTGCCATGGATTATTTACATCAAAAATGAAATAACTTGAAGGTTAACTGCCAATTGTACTGTGGTATGACATATGATAAATTTAGAGATTGGAAATTCAGAGCAAAGGACAACACTGGCATTCCAAATGTCCTTATAAGCGCAGAGCTTTCAGGCTGCTTAGGAGTGTGGTATGTATGATTATTTTGTTTCTTCCAGGTTTATGACATTTGTTTTATAACTCTAAGCATGTGTCTAGAAATACTGCTGCAGCCTAGGCTTAAGGGAAAAAGAATCAAGCTATAGAGGGAGGATTCTAACGGGAAATAGAACGATGTGATCTCTGCTTTGGAAATGTGGTGTACTCTTTGCGAAAAGGGTATTTGCCTAGGCTAAAGTGTTACTTCTATGACAGATTGATCAGCACTTAATAGGGAGCTCTTTATGGAGAATGCTACAGTCTAACTTCTAAAATTCATGGTCTGTCTTGTGCTTCCTCTCATTGACAACAGAATTGAGAGAACATTCACAGGGTGGGTGCAATAAGTTATGGAATTTAGTTTTACAGACTGAATTTATCTGATATACAAAAATCACTACTTTTGTTCATATTCTAATACAGTTTCTCTTTACTATAAATCTTTGTGGTGGCTTTGAGTACAGCAGTTAATGAGATATAATTAATCTCAAAGTCTCTAATAAGGCTTTAAAAGGGACTCATGTTATTTGGATCTACAGACTGTGGTTTTTTTAATCCCTAAACATTTAGTTTTCCCTTTTTAGAGAGGTGAAAAAAACCCAGTGGTTTTCTTTTTTCTTTTATTTGTCACAAGATACTTATTGTCTTGAAATTTTCCAGTATTTAACTCTACAAATGTGCTATGTTTCTGGAGCCAATGTACAGTAAAAGCTACTTGCAGTGAAACTAAGTACATGTTAACAAATGAAGTTGATTTTTACTTCCCACTATTCTATGACAGTATGCTGCAGACACTCTGAAAACTAAAGAAGCTATATCTGTGATTGATTTGAAGCAGAAGATATCTTCAACAGTGAGCAACCTTTCCAGTTAACAAACTGCATGTTTCTTACTGAATGCTGGTCTCATTCTTTCTGCGTTTAATATATTCACAGCTGCGGGACAAGTGGTTATGTATGGCAGCCTTAAGTATCTTCAGCTTCCATCAGTTGTAGCATTGTAATTAGTGCCTCAAAGGTTCAGGCCATTTGTATGATACCATTTTCTGTCTGGCTAAAGTCAAATGGAAAGACTGGATTCTCCAGTCCCTGCTTAGGAAAAGGACAAGTGAAGTAAGGGGAGGCAGGCAGTGTGCACGTTTTTGTGTCTGTACCAGTAGCCTTGTCTGTGTTACTTGCTGACTGCCTCAGGGCTATCCTAACTTACATCTAGCTGGCTGTTTACATCTACATTAACTGTTTTCAAGAAGGATTTCTTTATCTCTTGCTTTGCTGGTTTCACAGTTCCTAGCTTTTACAGCCGATCTACCCTGAAAATTCCCTAATTTGGCAACAAGATGGGTACACTGCTGGAATTTTCTGCCATTCTGTTTTGCATTTGCCTGCTCTGCCTTTTAGTACGCGTGAGTGACTTTATAGCTTTTGGAACGCACTTAATGGATTAGCTGAGCTAAGCTCACTCACTGTATGACTGGTGCGAGGCAAAGACTTTACATTTGCCATGCAGGTGACAGTAGTTCCAGTGGGTCATTCTGACATCCAAAGATAGCCTTAGCTGGCATACTTACTGTTCTTTCTTTACTCATGGGCACAAGCCGTGCTTTGGCTGAGAGAAGAGTCATAGCACACAGTCCCGGAGGAGGTTTGTAGTAGTTGGCTTTTTTAGCTTTGAACGCCAGTAGTAAAGGCAGAGTCTGTCCATGTATGTTAAAACTCAGACTTTATCCTGTAAAGAGCGGAATAAGGACAACATCAGAACTCAGTTTTGCAGTAATATTCACACTGCTTTGCACTTCGGCCAGAAACTCCTCTTAAGGCATGGTATGCAGGTAGAACATGCAGTAAAGCGATTAACCCTATCTTGTCTTAGACAAACCCACTTTCCACTTAAGCACTTGAGCGTAAGGAAATTCCTGTTTCGGGCATCTACTCGCACTTACAAAAGGGATACCTGTACTTCTGTATGATTTGCATTTTTGCTTTGTAGAGTTCTCATTCATTCATTGTTTCCCTAGATATTTATTTAGCACTCATTTCAGCCATCACCATTTTACCTGAGCGGTAGGCAAGACTTGAGTGTTTACAGCTCCCATACATGTGCACACACAGACACACTCTGTTGGCCCAGTGTGAGTAATTATTTATCTCAAACATATAAAACTTCTGACCTGCAGCTAATTTTTCAGTGCTTGTCTGTAACTTTTAAGACAAACACAACTAGAAATAATAGTAATTTAGAATAGCCACATAAAACTCAATATTTTTTTTCCTACACTAAATTCTTATTAATTATTTAATGGTACAGCATATTTTTAATTCAGAATTGTAGAATTTAGCATGTCTTAACTTCAGCTAATATTTTTCCAGTAATAAAAGCAACTTCATATTGTAAGTAATCTAATGGAATATGCTGAGTGAATCAGTAGCCATAAAAGAAATTATTTTGTATTTTACATATCAATTGTAAGAATTGAAAGAAAAAGAAAGAGGGATTTCTCTGAGGAATGAAAGCAAGGATTTTGCATCTGAAAGATTCATTTCTAGTTCAAAAGGGGACTGAAATGTTTAATAAAATGAATACACTACTTAAATAATTCATAGAGATTAACATGTCTGTAGGGTTAATGTACACAGATGAATGTATTTTAAACGTTGATTAAATGTCCTCAGATTGGTGTAGTTCTCAACTGTCTAGAAGAATGTACTGCACCAATCCATGAAGTTATTTACATTTCCGTGCGTTAAGTGTAGTAGTGTGTGTGAAGATTGGGGTCTACCAGAGTATGATATAAATACATTATGAAACCAAAGCAGAAATCCACAAAGGGTCTTTCCTTCTGTGTGTCTGTATCAAACAAACCGTTCATACATTTGGGTCTGTGTTAAGTGAATGAGAAATGTAGTCCAGAGTTAAAACAGGTTTCATTGTGTATACAGACTTCAAAAGTGTACTTGCTTGCATAAACCCTCTTCTTTCCCATTTGGAAATGAAATTATTAATGTTTTTCATCAGCCTCATTTGGATTTTTAAACTTTGTGAACTTCATCTCTGGCACCTGGGTGCTCACAGTATACGAAAACTTTGGACTGTATTATGCAAGATGCCATATGTAGGTGACTGATAGCAAACTCGAACACAGAAAATTTGCCCATCTTTTGGGCTCCTCTCTTTATCTGATGGCATAGATACCTAACTCATCTTCTGTGCTGTATGAACACTGTGAACAAGGTCTTGGACTGCAGACCAATGTAGATTGATAACAATTTCCCCTCCTGATCTGACAGTGGCCCTTTCACAGTGTCTGCCTTCATTTTTCATGTTCTTGTCATGAACATGCTTGTTTTGCCATGGATTTCTGTATTTGGGAGACTACTCACTAGTTTTCCATGGTGTGAGCATGGATTTTTCACATCAGATTCACTAACCATAAACATTTTTTTTTTTTTTCTGAAATACTGGATGAGAGTACAGTCAAAAGAGTTCTATCTGTAAAAAACTGAAAGCAAACTTGTGAGTTTTTGAGCAGAGTGCTCTGTTAGCAATACTGATCTTTGAATTCCTGCATGGTGGTGTATTAGTTGTGAGATGAGAATACTTCAGGGAAGCTAAGGTGCAGCTTCAGCTGAGATACAGCTTCAGCTACCAGCATACTCTTAATATTTTTCTTCTAAGAATAGAGGTAATTTTTAATAATTGCTGTGTGTTGGAAGTGGAACATCATCTCAATAGTTTGACTTTGCTGAGCAATTGGAAACCCCTATGACATTTTCCAATCACTTAGGACAAAAAAAGAATATTTCAGTTTGGATCTGACAAACTTTGTCTCTTTCCTAAGTTGCTGACCAGCAAAGAAGAGAGAAACTGAAAAAGAAGATAGCCAGGTGTGAAGAGGAAATGAGTGTGGGTAAAACTGCCTCCCGATCCAGCTCAAGAGAGAGTGGAAGGCTGCTGCCATCCTCTTTCAGAAAGGTAGATATTTTAATTTTGTTTAGTAGGTATTGTAGTCTACTTGCCTCCCGTAACAACAGCTGATCACTGCTGTGCAGCAGCCTCTAGAGGGAGGGCTTGCATATTTCAAGCAGCAGAAAATAGACAGGGGTCTTCCTGGCGTGTGCCCAACACCAAATGGACATCTCTGCCTTCTGTCAAAGATGGCAGGTATCTGGATGAAGAGTTCTTGTGGTAAATTCAAGCTCTAGTTGCCTTTGAATTCTCTTGCTTTCATCTCAGCTGAAATTCCCATGTCCTCTCTGTCACTCCAGAGCTTTCTACCATTTCCTAAGGCAGAACTCTAGTTATTACCCTTCCTAGCAGAAGAGTCGAGAATCTTCTATTTTTTTTTCTATATCCAGAGTCCTACTTGGAAATACATTTCATATCTAACAGTATACTACATGCTCAAATTGCAGTTATTGAAAGTGAAAATAGTACTTAAGCCATCAAAATAAATGCTTTTCTGTCTGTATACATAGGTTCACTTATTTTGGCTGGCATTTCATCCAGATATGTGGTGTATATTTCCAAATCACAAATAAATAAATAGCCTAATAAATTACATTCTTTTGTTCATCACTGTAAAGGAGCAATTGCAACTTAAAACAGAGTGCTGCTTTAACTCTGTTGATTTTAACAGCAAATGCTTTATATGTTGTTTAAATATCCGTAGAACTGGAGATCATTTCCAGGTAGTACAGAAAACTCACTATTGGTTTCTTTCTGTGTGACCGGTTTTTGCAGCAGGCAAGTCTGAGTGTGACCTTATTGCAGTGCAGAGAAATAAGGCTTTGAAATTCAGTACGTGGTTCTTATTTGTGGATGAAAGCACAGGCATGCATGAGAAAAGGGAGGAAATTTCATATTTAAAATCCAAATTTTATTTTTTATTAATGCCATTTTTTTTCCTTCCGTGTTATTTTCTGCAGACTGGGGCAGGAGAAGTTCCTTAAATTATTTCATCACGAAACCAAGTAAAGTGTGCTTAAAATGTATCTCTAATTACTGCATAAATTCTCAGTTTTAAAGTGAGAGATGTACTTGTGGTCTTTAATATAGCATTATAACAGACTGTCGCTTTTTTCCTTTGTTTTAATCTTTTGCAAAACAAGGTCTGTCTAAAGTAATATCTGTCCCAGTTCTTCTAATTACTTACAGGTGCCTTCCCACCAACATTCGTCTTGAAAGTGTAGTCTGTATCATGCCAACAGAAACTGCAGCTTTCCTTATGTTTGCTAGCTTAAGGGTATAATTCAAAAAAGTGTCTGAGTCTGAACTTCAAGTTATCAACTGCAGAGTATATTTTAGAAAGTAATGTTGGGAGACTTGCCAAATTAATGTTTAACCACACATAAAAAGTAATTTTTTGATATAATACTTTTTTTTTGCCTCTAGGTTTTGGGTTTTTTTTTTAGTTTACAAATGCAAAGAGTATTCTTCACTAAAATACTCTTTGGCGCTTTGTTAATCAAATCATTGATTGCTGGACTTAAAAAGTATGTTTCACTGTAGTGTAAACAAGAGCACCAGTGAGTCAGTAAGAAGTCAAAATCTGTAAGTGAGCCTTCTGTTAGAAGGGTAGGCAGTGGAAGTAATTGAGCTGTCATATTTTTGTGCTAAAAACTAAGCCCTATTTAAACTTTACTTCATTTGCCAAAATACACATTTGATTTCCTATGCTTGTTTGTACACCAAGGGAGGATTCTTCTACTTCAATGATTAGATGTCCTCTAATGCATTGTGAGGATGAGTTAGCCATTCTAATTGTATTTCTGTAGTCATCAGGATATATCGATAGGTGGCAGCTGGAAAACAAACTCTAAGGATGCCTATTAAAGCATATGATAATGTAGAGGATTTTTGCCACACAGTAATCATATTATTGCTGTCAATGTTGCCATTAGGAAGAAGCTGATTATACATCCTTTATTTGTGGAACTGCTCCAAAAATTATTTTGTTGAATTAGGATATTCCTGCATTGGGATGAGATTCAGCACAAATTTGAAGCAGTCAACCTTGGAATACTCCAGGTTTCCAAGGAGGTACTGGCAAGAGTAGAATGTGGTCCTGTGCTTAATAAGCATCTTACAACATTACAGGAGGAATGTAAGAAAAAGAGACAAGGACAGTTCTCCTGGCTTTGCCACTGTTACATTTAAGTGTAAGAATACAAAAGTTAAAGAAATTACTTTCATAATGCATAATTTCTTGCCTAATAAAATGTGGCTCTTGTAAAATATATATCGATTTAAGGGTAACATACATACATATATGTGTATATAAAAATATAATAACCCTTGTAACTCTGACAAGGTCAATGTCTGACTAGATTATAGGCTAAATACATGCTAACTGGCTTTGATATATGCACCTGACTTCCTATTTTCAAAGGGCTTCGTTCATTAGCATTCACTTTTTATGCATTCTGGTAAGTCTGGTGCCTTTATTTCATCATTTCCATTTCTCGTGTAGCTGCATTTATTATTATTTAATGCTGCAATAGAGCACAGAAACTGTTTTCAATTCAGACTGTGCTTTGTGCATGGTAAAATGAAAAAGAAGTAAAAATAATTCCTCTAAATCATATAATACGTTATACATTTCTTAAAACCTCTGTGATTTAGTCAGTGTATTTTATTACTCACTGAGCCAACTATGAAACTGAATAGCTATAATGTGTCTTGAACCTGACTGGCCTGCTCTGTGACTGTTTTGTACAAGGGTTTAAATGCACAAGAACAGTGAATTCTTTATCTGTTATATCTATTCATAAATATAAAGTTACTGTAATGTGAGAATCTGCTATGATACGTCATGAACTGAGACAGTTATTTCTGTTGTGGTGTTACTTATATTTCATTACTGACTTTTTGAAATAATCAGTGATTTTAATCAAAGAGAGTATTTTGATCAGAGATAAAAATATTGCATCTAGAGCCATGAGTTAAGATGTGATAGATGTTTTTGGTGTGTCATGCATTTCTCTGCTTTTAGCAGAAGACCTAAGTGAGAAGCTAAGGAGCAGGCTCATTTTCAAAAGGCACAATGGAGCAGTCTTTGGATGGGATCAGTAGCAACTAAATTACTTCAAGGACAGTAGTTTGTCTCTCACAGTTGAGGGGCAGGGAAAGTGTAAGATGTCCTGGGGACAGCTGTACTTCTCTTCTGCTCCTCTCTTTCCATGTAGCATAATAACGATGGCTGACACCATGTGTGAAAGTTAATCAAAATAGGATGATAAACTACAGATATGGATGCTGAAAGGGCTGCTGACTTTGTGTTTGTGTGTCTTTGTGAATATGTAATTTTTAAGTGAGTATTTAGAGATTTATTTAGACTGAAAAGCTTGAGGATGGATAAGCAGCACATGGGTGGGTATCCACTCATTTATGTGTCAGCAAATTACTTGTATATACTCCTTATTTAATTAATTACTCTAAGCTTTCTCACAATGGAAAAGGCTGTTTGACAGAGTCTGGAAAATACTGTGACGTATATGCACAGAATGCCACTACCATATAGTCTTTCCAACTTCTGCCAGGGATGGAAAGCTATATCCTAGTGAAATCCCAAGATTTTTAATTTTTATTTTTCTGTACAAAGCTGATTTGGGTTTTTAAACATCCATCTGAGTGATTCAGTGGGTCAAACTGCATGAAGTGCAATATGACTTACCTCTGAAGCAAGAAAACCTGAACTGAGCTGGCCATGAGTAAAATCTATGATTTGAGCAAGATCTGTATTTCATATCCCATGTTCAGATAATCCTATTAACAGGCATTTCTGGCTGCTAATGAAATTTTTAAAAGAAATTAATCCATGCCAAAAGTCAGTTGGAGGAAGGCTGCTCCAAAGGAGGGTAAATTTTCTCTTTTAACCATTTGAAGTATGGTTGCCATAGCCTTGACACTTCAAGATCCCTGTCAGCCTGTTCTTTGAGACTTTTTTTGATTTCTTAAGAATGACAGTTATGGTCATCTGCTTGTACATATGAAATATAGATTAGGAAACACCATTAACTGTTTCTAATCTCTCTTGTTAATTTGGTATGCAGCACACATACGTGGCTATGTGAATTGCCTACTCAAATGCTTTATATTTAAAGATTTATTATACTGTTACGATATTAACAGTCTGAAGATGTATTGTGCTTGACTTAGTTCTGTCAGAATGAGAGATGTAAGTGACCAAAGAAAGCAGAAGAACGTTCTGAGCATCAAAGAAAGATGTTTTCCTGAGGAATGTTCAGTACAGATTTCCTTTCGGGCTTCATAGTGACAATTACCTCTCATGCTGGTTGGTTGAATTAATACATTTCCATATGCACATTCAGTAATACCCCTTATTAATAACATCACAGTATTTGATGAAAGTAGGAACATACCACATTATACAATTGAATACCTCACACACACAAAAGGAAAGATTGTAACAGGAACAGAGTTTTGAATGAGAAAAATGGTTATTATTGATGCCACTACGCAAACTGATTACATTCATACAGGTCTTATTTGTTCACATATTTGTGTGAATTTTCTCTCTTGCCTTTCTCAATTCTTAACTAATTATCGAAGTGTGTAATGAAATGAACAGACGACATACAAGGGGGTTATGAGAGCAGCAACTGTAAAGGCAGCTTGTCGCTTACTACAGGAGACCTTTGCTCTGTCCAGGCAGCGGAGAGCAGGTGCTCAGTCCACTTACAGCAATATAAAAGTGGCTTATAAATGGAGCTGTCTCAAGTTAAAAGAATCAGGTGCTCATTTATTACCAAATTGCAGCTTCTGTATCTTGATAGTGCTGTTCATAAAGTGCCTCTCTGATCTCATTTTATGATGGTAGATGAACTGTTCTATTGGAATACCTTTTCATACAAGAACAAGTTAATTTCAAGACTTAATTAATCTTGGTGTAACTTCAGTGACCCCAGCAAGAGGTGCCTTTGGACCTTTTATGTGAAAATAGATTTAGCAAACTTTCTTTCCAAAGTTTGGTTTTTATAAGACAGATGATACCTCAGTGGCTTTTGAGTTGAGAAACTAAACTTCTTTTAGGAAGTAAAAGTAACTTAGAGAGAAATCTAGATTCTTTCTCTGTGTTACTTCTCTTGTCCATCAGATGACAGTGGTATGCTTTTATCTGTTTTTACTGAATTTTCTCTTCCACAGAGTCTGTGAAGATTCAGGGGTCCTCTCTGTACAAGCTGGCTGCAAGTAATATTCCATTTACCCCAGTTTTGTAGCTAACAAAACTGAAGCATAAATATGTAATTTACGAAACCTTTTTAAGGGGGCTATTATTGCTGAAATGTACCACTGAGTACATTTGTATCTTTCAAAACAAATTACAGTTGATTGAATCAATAGAATAGGTACATATATTGGTAAGCAAGATAGGTGTCAAGATTCTTGACTCCATTAGCTGTATACATTAGTTATAGTTCTTGATAGTGCTAATGTCCAAAGCTATACTTCCATTGAATTTTTTTTAATTGTATCTGAAGAATAGAGCTAAATATCTTCCCATCAGTGTGTTACTGCATATTTGTAGGCATGTTTTTGTCATCTTTTTTTTTTTCCCCCCCAGCTAAACATCTGATATTTTTATAGATACAGATTAGAGAAGAAAATGAACATACTTGCTCTTACAATTAACTTGCCTATACCAACACTGGTGTACAAATAATTTTCTGAAAGCTTGGTGACAAATTGCAGACAAACAGCATTCTCTGACACTCCCTAAAATCTTTTTGAAGTCACCAACGTAGTTCCTTGTTCCTGATATTGTTTCTTTGTGTATCCCAAGGCTGAGCTGCCTACCTGTTTGGGCAGTAAAGGTTTACCCCAGGATAAGGGCTTCAAAAGACATTCTTCTGTCTCAGTACTTGAATGAGTACATCTCAAGACTGACACAAACACGGCTTGGGTTTGCAGTTCTATCTAGGTACTACCTTAGCTACTTGGTCTGTTCTACTTATGATATGTATGAGAAGGAGAACAAAAGAACTGCCCTAAGCTTCCTCATAAATAAGGAATGCTTAAATTCAGGATATTGCCATGTTTACCCTGTACCTTTGTCTTGTTTTAGGATCAGCTCAACTGCTTCCAAGGCATAGAACATGTGGCTTTCATGAGGTGTAGTTGTGTAATTGGGTAATATCACTTAATATCTTCTTTTATTATTATTTTGTATATTGCAGGGCACCAGTCATCCTATGTTCACAAATGCTTCTACAATCTGATTTATATTGCAGCTCCACCAACTGTTTTAATCACTGAGAGTAAAAAGTATACAAGAAAAATTAAGGTGTTTATAATGCATACTGAAGGCTATGGAATTAGCTTTGCAAAACATCTATATAGGTGGATTCTGAAACTTTCCAGTCTTAATCTGTTTTCTATAGTGCTGAGCTACCACTGCAAGTACTTTATATGCAAACAATCACACTGGTAAGCCTTATTATACTGCTTGCTAACAGAGACATTTGTTTGGCATTGTTACTGCATGTTATCAGTTCAGCATTTAATTACGCTGTAGTAGTAAAATAAAGTTGGCTCACGTGAGAGACCACCAAGAAGGGCTTATTTTGGTTCAGCTAACTAAAAAAAAAAAACCTTTTTGCATTAGGCATCATCAGCAGATATGGACATTTTGGGGTACTGGAACAGCATAGATAGGTCTTACTTATTTGGAAGAAAACTGTGTGGAATTGTTGTAAAGGAAATATATGGTATGACAGCAGTGTGATGTGTGACTTAATTTTGATGGTAAACTATCTGCATTTTTTAATATTCCTCTAAATAACATATACTACATGCCACAAAATGTATATTCATCATCTTGAGTTTTAATTTAAAATATTATGTGGTTCTGAAAGGGGAAAACATGGAATAGTGTAGATTCAAAGCAATAACAGTAGCAGTGTTAGGAGAAAATGCAGCATTTATAGAGTAAGAGTCATTGCTTAGAACTTTTAAGAACACCTTTTTTTAGGATTGGAATGATAGAATAGAAAATCTGTGTATATTTACAAGCTATACTATGAATTACATAGGTTCATATACTATACTATATATTACTAGTTTACTAGTATATTGTGCTTCTTTTGGTGAGGAGTGAGTTAGCTGACCATAATTTTAGGCTGAACCACACACTGCCTATATCTTACCTTAGCCATACCACCATGTGCTACTGATTTGTCTCTTGGTTTGTTGTCTAACTAGTAGCCTTGTAACTGTGTCCTTTTAAAGTAACATTGAATGAGAGTTTGCTTCTGAGATTGAAGTACATTTTTAAAGTCTAATGTGTTGAACAGTTAAGAAGCAGGAGCAGTAATACCATTTCTCTACCATCACCTGAAATCAAGTATATCTATTCATAAACTCAGCACGTGTTACCTGACCTGTTTAACTGTAGTAAGCTAACTACTTGCACTGATGGCTTTCTGTAGTGTTAGAGGGAAAGTTTCACAGCTGCCTATGTATCTGCTGGGCTGAGAAACCCAAAGGAGAACAGGATAGAAACTTGACTGTCTGCTGGAGGACATTATGATTGTTTGTATTGTCATAGCAATTGGACATTTCTCATGGAGCAGGGTGTCATTACACAAGGTAACACCCTGTGTTTGTACAGCCCTACCAAAGATGTGCATCTCCCACCTACAGGAAGAAAAGGGTCACACATGGAATAAACAGTCAGTTATAGTTTTCTTATTCTGTGTAATAAACCATATTACAGTATTTTCCATGTTGGTCTAAGTTGAATCAGTGAGCAGTGCTACTTACAGAATATACAGCTTATAAAGATAGCTCGTGTGTGATATGCTTTGAAGCTAATAGGACTTAGTGAGAGGCAAAAGCTCCACGCTTGAAGACAATATGTACTGTGAACCAGTCAGTAGGATACTTATGGATAATGTCTACCTTACCTTGCCCAGGTGGTATGAACAGAGTATACCCCGATAAAATAATTTGCCTTGATGCAATGATCCCTTGACTATTAAAAACGTATTGAGCCTTTGGACTAAAATGATTAAAACTCTTGGTTTGATGTAGCCATCAATATTCTGTAACAAAGCACCAATGGTTTGCTGCTGAAGCAAACCATTTTCTTATTACTCTCTTATTTCCAATGACTAGGTTTTAAAATCTGTTAGCACTGGGGCTGCTCTGAAACCAGTTTGATTTTACAAAAATGGAAAGTTTTTACATAGAAAATACCTCCAAGTTGGTAACAATAATAGCTGGGAGTACCAACTTGAGCAAAGCTGGTAACTTGCAAAGCAATCAGATCTTGTTTTAATTTTTTCTAGAGTTTCTTGGAAGCAGAAGACAAAGACGGTCTCTTCCCCTGTGCTCGGCAGGCACAGTACCTATCAAGAGCGCTGTCTCCTTATGGCGAGCATGGCTTGGTGGGCTCCAGTCCAGTAAAATATGCCAGAAAAGATTCTCAGAATACATCTAACGCATCTAACTCAAACTCAAGTGTCACTACATCAAGTACACCAAGAAAATGCTCTGGACTTTCATGCAGTTGCTCCACTGATAGTTTTGTGAGCATTAGTCATTCCCAGAGGTGTCAAGGAAGCAACTCCAAAGTATGCAGTGGGGATCTTCTAGACAGACACCCTGAATTCTTTACTGATAGCCGAAAACCTTTTACTCCACGCACCTTAAGATCAGATGCTAAATCTTTCCTGTCAGAGTACAGGTATTACACTCCTGCTCGAAGGAAAAGGAAAAATCACTGCAAGCAGCATGTGGAAGCTCAAACACAGACTGATGTGATCAGGTACAGAGATTAAAACTTCATTTTGAAATTGTGGAATTTAGATGTTATCATAACAGTATCTTCATAAAAGCAACATGTTTTGTTCTCATTTACATTTGTATAAAACTGAAATGATTCTAGATATGCCTTAGCAAAAGCTAGAACAGAATGTGATTTTCCTTTTTCACTGGCGTATTTTGTTGTATTCTTTCTGCAGCAACTGGTTTCATCTATATAAATTGGATACAAAGTGCCACTAAACCCAAACTGTGGGATCTCGCATCTGCTGGGGATGGTCATTCCCTCTCTCTTTTCTTTGCGCTCTCTGGTGTATAGTTGTGCCTTCTGTCTTCTAAAGAATTAACCACTATAAGCATGCAAGTAGTTTCCCACTGTTGCCCCTGTAGTCTCTGCTTTCCAATTCGTTAATTAATACATCATGCAGAGATCCTTTTTTTTTTTAACTCTTGAATGCAGCTCTTCATTGTCTTTATATCATTTTAATTTAAATGCCTTCAGATATATCCTATATGAAATATTTTATACAAAATTAATCTCATCTTCTCTTGCATTGAACTCCTTCTTAGCAAATTAAACAGTTTTGATTTAGTTTTGTGTTTTACTGATACTACCTCATAAAGAGAAGTCTTTTCTCTTTTGTGTCCTCAGTGCCTGCATGCATACCTCTGTTTTTGTCCTAGAACAAAGTAGGAATTTCATAAGACTGGAATTACAATAGCTTTGGCTACATATTGCAACTATTAATTTTCTGGCTGTGGGTCATATATTTTCCTGGTGCACTTTTAATGTACAGGATCATCTCCATTCTCAGTTCTGAACAGTTATTGTGGAAAATTTAGCTATCCCCTGTAAATACACAGTCAAATAATGGATTTGGATCACCTATGCATGACTGTTGTCATCCTTCAAAATGAACTGTAACATAGTTTTATTATGTGAATGAAAGTCTGGCAGAAATTTTCTAAACTGTCCAAGACATTTTAGTACTAGGTCCCATTCAGATTGATGGGAAATTTCCACAGTGGCACTGGTATTCTCATCCTGGATATTTTGAAAGTGGCCTTCTTGGAAATCTAATACATCTCTAAATTTTGTAGCTTTCCATCTGCAGACAAAGCGTCTGAGAGAAAAGTTATGACTGAACGGCAGAAGATCCCATTGAAGGTAATACACCTATCAGTCATCTGGGTACTCTTACCACACCTTTCACTATCATTTTGGAGTATATACATCATCTCTGCCACAGCAGTATACAACTGATTTAAGTTTCATTTTCTTTATTGTCATGAGATGAATTAGTTCTGTAGAGGAGAGAGCATTTCAGAAGAATGAATTCAAACAGTAAGAAAAAATATTGCGGCATGCGAAGAGATCTGAGGATATTACAAAATTTAAAAAGAATCTTTTTCAGCAGTTCTTACAAGTGCACTGTCACTTAAATAGCTGTTAAGGACATAGGTAATTGGTACATTATTTTACAGCAGAAGAAGGTACCTCTTTTTCAAGGATTTTTTTTCTTCATTTTTACATTGGATAACACATTCCAAAAAGCACTCAACAGAAGATTTGGAACCAAGGAGTCCCTTCCTCTGAAGCACCCAGACCAGTGGGTGGTGAAGTTTTCCTTAATACTGTTTGCTTTCTGTCTTGCTGAGTGTATCTGGAATGCTTTAATGAAAAATCACACCATTTCAAATTCTACCAGCTCCTAGTATTTTTTTGTCGTAGTCACAGAAATCATAGAATAGAATCATAGAATCGTTTAGGTTGAAAAAGACCTTTAAGATCATCCAGTCCAACCATTAACCTAACATTACCAAGTCCACCACTAAACCAGTTAAGGGTAGAGTAGCAATTTCATGTTTCCTGGCTTGGTGGCTGGATTATTTATAATGAAAGTAAAAACTAGGAATCATTAAGATTGGAAAGGACCTCTAAGATCATCATTCCAATCATCAACCCAACACCACCATGCCCACTAAACCATGTCCCAGAGTGCCATGTCTACCCATTTTTTGAACACTTCTAGGGATGGTAACTCCACCACCTCTCTGGGCAGCCTGTTCCAATGCTTGACTACCCTTTCCGTGAAGAAATTTTTCCTAATGCCTAGTTTGCATCCATCATTTTGATTTGAATTGCTAAGTGTTTGTGACAGTTGAACTGAGTTTTTTGGTTATTTGGTCTTTCAGAAATTGCCTTAGTGTGTGGTGGTTTAAGTTTATTAAATTTTAAAGATGAAATGGAATACCAGCATCTTTGGGAAGCAGAGGGAAGCAGGCAAAAGACCTGCAATATTTCTTAACTCTTCAAATATGAAGTTATTCTCTTTTAATTTGTACTAATATTTGGATGGAAGTGTTTTGATCAGAAGTCAGGTTCTTACTTTGTGCTTTATCTTGTAGCCACTATATAGACAAGTCCTTAAACAGCCCTGTCAGACATAAGAGAAGTACTTGAATAACTGTGGACTTCCTTCCTGAATAAAGGCTACAGGGTCAGACTCTTCATGTCTCTAGCTTAATAAGGCAAATAATTATGCTTTATTCATTGGAGGAGAGGGGTGAGAGAGAATATGTATTTATAGCTTTACTGAAAATAGAAGAGAGACCACCTGAATTGATTTGCATCTGCAGCTGAACCTGAAAAGGTTAAATGATTATTCAGAAGGCTACACACCAGTTCCATGAAGAACTTCTGATTTCATTTCAAAACTGCCATATCTGACTTTTTCTTTGGCTATTGTAAAAGTGACAACACTAAGTCATGTAGCTTTACAGTGGCCCTTTCAGAGTATTGTAATTTAAAATGCAGGTAGTCAGCAACTTTACTTTCGGCCAGTTTTGCGCAAGCAGCTCAAGAGATGTGATTTAGAGTGCTGGTTCCTGTTTTTGCATGCCAAATTTTACTCCTGTTGATGACATCTACCCCTCTGGCTTTTAGAGAATTCATCTTTGACCTACTTGTCAGGGGAGAAATGTTCCACATCTCCTGTTGCCCCTGACTAAAATTTTGGATGTCCAAAAAACCTGATGACCCTTTGCTGCCATATGTCTCAGTTTACCCAAGTTTCTCAGAAAAGACATAAAATTTGTAGGGCTGCTTAATCACAGATAGTTATTAGGTTCATTTTAATGGTAAAATTTGCTGTGTATTTGCACTAATAATAAAGATTTTATCTCTGTGTTTTAGGCTGAAGATAAAAGATATACTGTGGATAAGCCTGAGAGAGGAATAGCTGCTTTTCCATACTCCTTCCTAAGGTGTCTGATTTACAGCAGGAAGAAACATTTGAAGCATTCCTTCTTGCTTTCTATACAGCTGCTTCTTAGGCCATAAGCCTTTACTACCATTTCTCTTTATAAGTCTCTTCTCACAGGACTTTTCTTTGGTTGGGTTTTTTAGATCAATAGCCTTTCCCAATTTCAAAACTCATGATTTTCTTATGATAAAGTTCCACTGGGAAGCCAATTAAGAAAGAGAGCTCTGAAATATGAGTATTTTTGTCAGGAGTGAGAGCGATGACACATTAATAGAGCTCTTAGTTTTGTATATCCAAGCATACATCTGAGCTTACAGACTGTATTTCTTGTACAGTACTACAACTAAATACTGGATTGGTATTCCAGTTGGTATTTCCTTTAAGGAAAAAGGGTCTCCAGACATCCAGCCTTTTGAATCCACGATCTGCGAGAATTGCAGACCAGAGGCATTTCCCACATCTTTTTCTGAAAATGTAGCACAGATTTAGAATATTGTCTACCAATAACTGTGGTGAAAATCAGGCCAGAACCCAAGGGCTCCCAGCTGGTTCTCCTCATTGCTGACCTAAGTATTGTGCATGAGTCACTGATTTGCTCTCTGGCCTTTTCATACAAACACATTTTTACCTGAGGAAAAAAATTGTACTCTGAGTGAAAAAAAGCACTTTTATGGGTAGTGGAGGTCTTTTGAGGTGTTAGAGCACTGCATCTAGTGAGGTGTTATAATACGCTTGAACCATAGTCTCTCAGGCTTCAATGTAAGCAGTGGGTTTTGCTACTGGAGCAGGTTTTGGGGGTGTTCTGGTGGTTTTTTTTCCAAGAGGAAGTGGGATAATGGCACAGCATGGCTCCAGAAGAAGGTGAGATGCAAGGTAGTATAAAGGGTTTTTAGAATGTTGCTCTCTTTCTTACCCTCTAATTTTCTGATTAGAGAGACATCATTGTATTCTCAGCGGTCTTCAGCAAGGAGGACTACTGAGGCTGAGTAAGTATGCTTAAACCATTTTTCTGCTAGTTTGCAACATTAAACTAGAAGCTCTTCCTCAAAACTGATGAACTTGAAACAGTAAATGAGGACTCAGAATAAGCTGCTGTTCAGAATTCACAGTGCAATTGACATGACTATGAATTGTTATATAATACTTAAAAATTTACATGTGAATCTTAAAATGAAGAAAATTCATTATAACTCTGGAAGAAAGATAAACTTCTCTTCTTTACTAGTGGCTATACCTTTCACGTTTCCAGTTCTTTTTTGGTCTGTAATCTCTGAAGCAAATGTTGGCAGAATAAAATACCAAGTTGAAGGGCATTCTTACCACATTTCTGCTCTGAAATTTGATGAGAATTAGAAGAAGTTTGAATTATATTCAGAAACACTGCCAATGCTTTATTGTGTGACTTTGGGAAAGTCATTTAATTCTTTGTGCTTTAGGACAGGCTTGTTCTTGCCTGACTTTAAGCATGTAATACAGGTATCAAAGATCAGCTATAGATACCTTTCTTGACTGTAGAGGGAACTAAAATTACATTCTTCAGGCTGGATGACAAATTTTACATGGTGAGAGTCATTCAAGATGTATCCCACTTTTTTTATTTTCTGTTTATTAAGACTTGATTGGATACTTTGGGATATTTAGAAAGATGCTATGAAAGAGAAGCAGCACTGAGATCTCTTCTTTGGGGGGTTTCTTTCTTGCTGTTTTCCAAACAGAACTCCAAACTTTTGGAGAGTCTGGCATCAACAAGGCTTTAAGAGGTATTAAAATAAAGAGAAATTTGATCAAAGATTTAAAAGCCACATCTCACACTAACAAGGATTCTGTACAACAGAGAGAGTTGTTGTTTGAAAGGAATGGAGGCTGTCAAATAAGCACTTAGATTTTTCTGAGCTTCCATTGAGGACTAGCAATTTTCAGCTGCAGTTAGATTCTCTACAAGCTCCTTTGGAAGCCTTTACTTAGAGCATCAAACTGCAGTTTTACACTTTCTTCCCAGGTAGCACCCCTTTCTTCTTGAGTGCAAAGCAGGTTCTGAATGCTTTCCAAGATTTGCTGATTTCCTCACTCAGGATCTCTGTGCTAATTTATACCACAATAGAAAATTAGCATAAACACGAAGCACTGTAGCAACCTTTCTAACAGTCTGATATTTTACACAGGATTTTTTATCATTATTCAAATTGAATGAAAGGCTTAGTTTGTCCTGATAGAATTACCTTTTTGAAAAACAGCAGCTGGTGCCAAGAACTATACAATCTTCTTAATGACATTTCCCATAAAGGTGGTTGGACCTACTGCATTGTGTACTATGTGTCTCTATTTTAAAACATTTAACTTTGGGTTTTCTATTCTCCCTGCAGAGAAGAAGAGCTTTTATATTTAGGTTTCATTGAAGATGTAACAAATGAAATTCTTAGCCTTGGGCTATTTTCTAACAGGTAGGATACAGTAGTTTTCAAATTTGTAGTGCTGTGTCAGAAACACGTGGATTCTGTAAGAAAGGGAGATAGTGTGTTGTAATCAGTTCTTCGCCTTTAAGAATATATAGATCCACTGTTACCCCTTTGCTTTTGTTTTGTTTCCTTTTCTTTTTTGCTTTCTGTAAGAAAGGGGAACTAGGAAAGACCTGTGGGTCATCTACTTTGATCTGCTGCTATGTACCATGAGATAAAGCCTCTTTTAGAAACTGACCTGGAACCCTAGGTGGAGTGATGCTAAGAAGAAATCATTTTACTCTGCAACATCTGTTTTGCTAACTAAACCAAGTTACTAATCTTTCACACAACAGATCCTCCCTCTGTCCTTGTTCCTGTTCCAATATGAATTCAGTCTTCAGCATGGGTTGTCAGGACTACATATTGTTTCAGATAAGGGTTCAGCAGTTGCCAAATCAGATTTTTTTTTTAATAATTAAACAATATGTTATGATACAAATCATGTATTTCAGTAGTACTCCCAAATTCTTTTCCATATCATTTCTTTCTGATAAAGAACTCTCAGTTTATAGCAAAAAAACCCTTCAGTATTTCTGATACACAATTTTAACCCATTTTTGTAGTTCCATTTTCAAGGCAGTGTAATTTCAGCATAATATTCTGATCTTCTTCTGGGCTGATAATGTTCCCAGCTGTTTTTCTATTCTGTGGACTCTCTTGGTTTTTTTGGTTTTTTTTTTCCTCATGTCAAGGCTATCAATACACTAAATCAAAAAATTAATCTTTGGGAAATTTCAAGAGCAGTCTCCCTCTGGTTCTTTTTTACAGGAATGTTGTCTTCCCTTAAAACCCTTCTTGCACTGTTTTTCCTTTTTTTAATAATTTCTCATGTAAGCTAGATTCTCTTGACCTTCTGGAAATCTGTTCTGGTGACTGTGTACCTTAGTTGTCACAGAACACTTCCTCTGTGCTGAAATTTTTTCTCATCCTGATTAAGCAATGTAAGAGACCTCTCAGGACTGAGGACTTTTCTCTGGATTTTTTTCTGAAGCTGGATTTCATTCCTTCCCTTTATTTACACTTGGGTATATCAGCCACTATTGTGCACCTAAGAGATTTTGGATACTTCAGCATGCCACTAGAACCACCACTGGATTGTTGGCTTCTCCCACCACATAGACCCAACAGACCATACACACCCAGAGTTGTGCTACAAATCGCCCCATGGTTACCATCCGCTGCCCAAACCTGGGTCTGCCTGCTGAGCACGTGTCCAGTGGGATACTGTCTCCAGGCAGCCTTCTTTGTGACAGAGCATAATTGAAACAATCTTAGTTGTCCCAGCCAGCTAAGAAATGAAAATAAAAAACTAAGGTCATTAATTTATGTAGATCTGTTAAAAGTTGGTTTTCTTCCTGTGAAATCATTTAATTGTTCATTTGTAGAGTTCTGGAACAACTGTTTGAGTGTCATATACAAGAAAACAAGAACCGTTTGGATGAGGTAGGTGCTGCCCCTATAATATTCTCCCGCTCCACATCCGACTTCAGCGGGTACGGTAGAAATGCACTGGTATATTTGCGCGTAAAGGTAACGGGAGTGCTCAGTGGGGAGCATCTCTCTCCATAAATGAGATTTGCAGACTCACGGATCACGGTACATCAGGAGTCACAGGCACAGTCACAAAAAAGGGACAATAGTCAGCTTGGTTTGGTGACACTTGCTGTATAATTTAGTCACTTCATTGCAAGCAGCCTCCCTTTCCTTATGTCAGAATTAAGCCCTGAGTTCTGGGCAGATAGGTGCCATGGGACTGGAGAAGTGTCACCCCATTCGTCCTTCACCCCCTAGAGCAAAATGCGCCACTTGTTGGATGTGCTGAAAGCAGACCTCGGCTGCAGCCCAGACAGCGGTGCGGAGCAAATCCACACAGGCTGGGAAGCCTTTGACTTGCTGGATCTGCCAGAGTTTGATACAATGGAAGAGCTTGAGCTTACCAGTAAAAGTGAGAGGCAAAGAAAAGCTACAAAAAGTGAAGAATTCTTGGGGAATGTAGACTTACCATTAAAGGAACTAAACAAATGCGAATCACCAGTATGCAGAGCAAGTTCAAAGGAGACACAGAGCAAGGATGACTTTTCAGAAGATGTCGCTGAAATTATGGATGCTGGGACAGATTCTCATTCTTGTGTGAAATCTGAAGACCCAGACACTTCACTCTCATGTGAGGCAACTTTAAACTTGGTTACTTGTGACCTTGATTTGGAAGCCAACAAGGAACTTGATGATCTTGAGGAAAGCTTTGCAGAAGCCCTTCAGATCTCACATGACTATTCACAATAGTAGCCAAAACTTAGCTGTTAAATAGGGATAGAGCTAGTTCTGTGAAGAACTGCCATTTGTTAAATAGTAGTAAATTATTTTATTTCCACTTTATTTCTGTTTAAATACTGCTAAAATCTCTCTAGCAGGATATTGTTAATTGGGCAGTAATTAATCTCTGTATTAATGTAGACTATCTAAAGAGTAAAGTGTCAGTTATCAAAAAGAATTTGTATGTTTTGTCTATAACTCAAAACTAACTTTTGAGAATATTAAAATTAGATTTATATTTTTTGAAAGCTGTAATAGTAAGTTATGAAATATTTATTGGTTTTTATTTATAATAAATAAATTCGTTGCCAGTGCAGTTGTGGTCCTGCTATAAAGATCCAAGACTTTGTAGTCTGCAAGAAATCAACTTACTTGTGTCAAAACATGGTATACTACGTATCTGCAGAGCAGAGATGGAACTGTCCATCCTGGAAGAGGGCATTGTTTGATGTTAAATCCCACTGAGGCACAAAGTTCTTATAATCAAATTTTTCCCTTTTATAGTAACTGTAGAACATAAGAAACATAGCTTTTCCATGCATTACCTAGGGTGAAATTAGGAATGAGCGTGGACAGGAACTTTCTGAACATAATTTCTTTTGGTGCTGGTAGATGATCATTCCTTCTTCAGCCTCAGCCATGAACTCAATTGTCTTATTCCTTGTACCAACAGGTATAAAGATACATTTTGCAGTATTAGCTGCTCTCAGTCTTTGCCTAACCTCCTGTCAGCTTTCTGGCCTGAAAAGGACATTTATCTCTAGCTACTGCATTGCATATGGCAGCTCTTTAATAAGCAGCTCTTTTGTTTATTTGTTTTATATGCAGCTCTTGAGCTGTTTAATCCTAGTTGTCCATGATTCAGCTGGTATTTCTGAAAAGTGAAGACTGCAACAATTTTCAGACTGCACAACACTAAAATACATGGTTCAATTTCTTGCATTAATGACAATCTTGGCATAGCATTCTGCATCAATCTTTGTTTTTGAAAAAAGGATTGAGTTGCGTACTGATTGGTTACTAGGACTATCTAGTAGAAGACACATCAGGCATCTTGTACAGCAACTGGAGGAAAGGGGTTTTTATGGTTATTTTATGGTTTATTTTATGATTAAAGTTTAAATTGAAATTAGCACATGCATCGCGCAAAATCAGCCCAAGTTTCTTTGTCTAATCAGAGTACAGCTATTACCTGGCATTCACGTTAGTGCAGAATGAGCTCAACAGGTTCTGAGGAAATGCAGGGAAGTTACATTGTCTTGCTGTATGTGAGGAACTATAAGAAGCCTTAGGAACCGGATAAAGCCTGTCCCCAGATACCTCTTAGGATTGGTCTTAATCTGCTTCCTCCAAGGACAAACCAAAAAGTGGTTACAGTTCATACGTACAACTGCTACCACCTGCCTCCCCTGTGGCTCATGAGTGTCTACCAAAGGCTATTGGTTCTGTAAGCTAGGTGAGCAATTTCAGCTATAAGTAGCTCCAGTAGACGTAGACCACTGCTTCACTTGTGAAGCATAAACTTTTTTTTTTTTTGGGGGGGTGGGGTGGGGAGGGAATCGCAAAAAAAAACTCTAGAGAAAGCTAATCAAACAAAAGCAACATTTCTGGCACAGCTGTCAGCATTGCAGTGCAGAACATAATTGCCCAAAAAAGCAAAAGGCACTTTCCTGGCTGCCTTGGCCACAATAATAAATTACACTTGTTGACAGCGACAGCAGACCAGGGTTTATTTTAGCCATGTACTGTGCAGATGGGCACTACTAGCCTTTCATCTGCCACACTCAGCTGGCTCTTGTAAATGGGGCCTGCAGCTTGAGTGCCCTGGCTCACCGAAACATAGGTACAATAATGTGGGGATTTTGCATCCCTCCATCAGAGCTTGTCTTGTTGAAACAACATACGCACAGGGCTGATTCAGTAGGGTGCAGGGATGGTTTGTCCTCGATCACAAATGACCAAAGCCCTTCTCCCATCCCCAAGGAACCTCCCTCTCTATTCCTTACCCCACAGAGCTGAAGGACAGATGCACCTAGGGAACTATTGTTTCTAATGTATGAACAATTTTAACACAGAGGGACTGGTTAGAAAACTAAACAGCGTGGTTCCACGTATCCAGGTATAAAGCCTCTTTGCTCCTCAGCCAGGACTTCACCCACTCTTGGGCCCCTCCATTCTGCATTCGCCAGTCTCAGTCAATAACGGCATTCAGGGGTTTTTCCCTACTTATCACTACACTGTATAACTTGCACGTCATAAAAACAAAGATCACTTGGCAAACCTTGGCTTGTGGTCAACATGTGATTAAAGATTAGTAAGAATTTCACATTTAAATTCCGCAAATAAAAAAAACTAAACACCACAGCAGTGAAAGTGGTCATGACATCACCTCACAGAAAGGTACAAATAATGACACCCTCATTTCCTGTAGTATGAGTAACACAAAAATAAACAAAACCAGTTCCTTGACCATATTTCCTGTTGATGAGCTGTCTGAACATCAATGACATTTTTTCTGGGTAGAAGGAACTCAAAAGAGTAAATAAATTAATTAAAACAGACCTTTCACAAACAAAACATCTGTCTGCCTAAACCACAACTGTAAACACTTCTTGGATCCAGAGTGAAATTTCTGGTAAAGAACGAGAAGATTGCGCACTCCGGTATCCTAGCAGCTGGAGCAGTCAGCCCAGTCCAAGGAACTGGTTTCTCATTGTACAGCCACTCCCACCAGATAGTGGGGAAAAAAACATTCTAGATAAATGTTACCTATATAAAATGAATCTGTTTATCTACAGATCCAAAAGCAAATTCAGGCTATCCAGGGCTTAAAACTTTCTCCCTTTTATTCACATTTACTTTAAGGTGGTGCTTAAAATATAAGTTGTTTAAGCAGCTTGATACGCAAGCCTGACCCACATCACTGATGAGATTAATCAACAGTGCAAGCTTTGGGTTTTTTCTTTTTTTCTGAGGGTTTCTTTTTTTTTTTTTTGGTCTCATCACCTTTTACTTGGTGATATACTCAGGTCTTGGCACAAGCAATAGCGGAACAAGGTAGCCATGACACCATTACAAATCTGAATGCTTCACAAGTAACAAACTTAGGAGCAGTTGGCAGCTGTGATCTGCAATGTAAAGCCTTATTTCTGCCCAGATTTATGTGGGTGATGAGCACATGCATAACAACATCAATGTTTACCTCAAAGGACAAAAGCCCGCTACTGTTACTTCACTCTGTAACAAACCGGTCTCTTTAAAGCCTACAGTTTTGTCATCACTGCTCTTACTTTGAAAGGTAGGATTCTGTTTATTTACAAAGCAAAGTGGGGCTTTTGGTCATTTGAAGTAAAGATTGATATGATGAAAGGAAAAGGTGCTTAGATGTCTTAGGGTTGACCAGAAAACAAAAACCTGCAAGCAATACCCAAGCTGTTGTTTTATCCCTGATTGACCCCAGTCTAAGACACCTACAAATTTTTCACTTAGGCTTAGCTGCAGAATGACTCTGGGGTCTTGTTTTTCTGCACTTCTGTACATTTTTACATCATTTATAGCTATGCAACAGTAGTTGTAGAATGATGCAGCTCAACTGATAATGTTTCATAATTATAGTGCAAATGGCTCCATCAGACAGTGAGGAAAAAAAGGCTACTTTTTTCTCAGCAATGATCTGTGCAAGGAGTATGAACAAGAGTACTGGAGCATCAGTATAAATAAAAATTCAGTCCAGGAGTTTCCTTTGCAGCACCTAACGCAGGCTGTTTCAATGCAGTGACAGCACAGCTTCTAACCAACAAGACATCCCAAACACCCTCCAGCGCGCTGCTACCGTTCCTCTGTGCCTGAGCACCAGTGAAAGGCAGCAGTCTCAGGGCACAGCCTGGGGGAAGGAGAAACAGCGATGGAGAATGAATGTTAAAGGGAATGTAGGAAGAAAGGAAAGAGGAAAGGGAAATTGTTATTTATTCCATCTTTGAAAAAATGGTGAGACCTATTATCAAGTAGAACACTGGTGCAGAGTAGAAATTTAGATGCCGCTTGTTAACATTGGTCTTCAAACATATTTTAGAGCTCCCTCAGGTTTTCCACCTTTTGTATCGTAGCATTTGTATTTGAGTATTTCAGACCTAAGAATTAATGAAAAAGGGAAAAAAACCACAAAACTGTAACTCAGGGTGTATTTCAGGGAGCTATGGGAAACTCCAGCATCCCACTTTATTTTTTGACCGCCCAAGGCAGGAGCATATGCTGATAAGCAAGTGCAGGGCACTGCAGCTGCATGATGTCTCTAGAGCCACCAAACCTTTCTTTCTGGCACTTCCCAGGCTCTTAACCTGCTGTTCTCAGGAGCTAATACCTGGTATGTACACAGATTACAAGGAACAGAACAGCGACCAGTGATTTTAATAAAAACAATTTCTCACTCTCCAAAACAGCCAAACCAGATACTCACAAGCAGTCCAGTCTTCCTGTTTCTTTTATCAATAGTGAAATCTGCTTCATTCAGTAACAACCATCTTCAGTTTCTATTCCAAGTAGCAAAGCAAGTGATATGCAAACAGGTGAGTGGTAAATTAATCTGCCGCACCAGCCATTGCACCAGCATGGGTTACAACCAGTCAAGGGATCCAGTTTCAAAGCCTGTAGCAGGTTGTGGGCCAGCGGAAGCTGAGCATGTCACAGGGATAAAGCATCGCTGGGAGGGGAAAGAAGAATCAGGAGTTATCACTGGCATGACAAATCATCAGTTGAGCTGTAGAGCACCCGTAGCTCATCTCTGTCTCAACCACCTTAAAGAAAACCTAGGAGGACTCCAGGATGTCAGGCAGTCCACAAGTAGCAACAAAAAGAGTTAATTCAAGTGAATGGAACCAAAATTAAGAATGCTGTGTCTACTGTGCACAGGACTTTCTGTAGAAAGCCTCCAGAGCAGCTGGGCTCTCTCTGCAGGCCTTCGAAAGGGACTG